GCCGAGTATAAATAGGGAGTGACAAAGGAGGCGCAGCTGAAGAGTGTCAGAAAATCAGGACAGGTGTGTTAATCAGGAGAGTCAGTGAGAAGGAGCAGACTAGAGTGAGAAAGAGAGAAGAGAGGGAGGTGCAAACCTGACAACCATTCCTTACTTTACAAGTGACAAATAATAACAATACTAACATTATTTAGTAATTACTTACACCGAACACTGTATGATTAAAATGTAAACGTACGCATTGACTCGGGCAGCTATTTTCCCCCAAGCTAACTCTTTCTCTTTCGCCGCTGCAGCCATGTTGTTTTTTTTTTACGAAATATGGGCTCGTAGTCACTATATGCTTGTAGTAGCACATCCATTTCTGTCGGGGAAAAACGCAGACCTATTTTGGCTTGGTCCTGTTGCCATGGTGACTCGTAATTTCTTCACTCCATTGTTCAGGGCTTTTTATAGTCGCGTGGCACGCGCCTAACTCTGAGTCAAACAACTCAGAGTTGATTAAACCAACTCTTTTCAGCTGTTCTGAAACCGAAAACTCCGAGTTTTCCAACTCTGGGTAAGTCAACTCAGAGTTCAGGTTTGAACTCTGAGTTTGTTAAACCTCCTTCTTGAAACGGGCCCCAGATGTTTAGCTATGTATTCTTTAAGCCTGTTTTTATCTTGAAAGTCCCACTGAGACAGTTAGTGTATAGTGTAAAACTGGAGCTTAATAACTCCAAGACTTCATAGTGTTGTCATTGTAATTCCAAAAATGTTGAGAAAATGTAAATCTGTGTTTTGCACTTTATTTGCATAAAAATACACTGTGATAAACAGTAACAGGATACATGTATCTTATCATAATGAGAAAATAGCGAAAATATTATTGGTTCGTAAATGTTTTTTAAATGACCAGCGCAATAAACAGATCCTACATCCCTTGGTCCATGACCTAACTTCCCAGCAAAACTCACTGAAATTTGTTAAGAAGAATTAAAACGGGATATATAGCAAATATGATATATAAATGACAACATTACTGGCAACTGTCAAATAGGTGATACACAACAAGCAAAGAGCAACAAAAATAAAAAGCACTCTCAAAACAGTGATGTCACATAACGGTTTCAGTCACTTGCAGCACCTCATGATGATGTTGTGCCTTTCAGCGCTGTAGCTCTTGTCTCAGTGCCCTTGATGTTGCAGGGTTTTATTGATGTCATGGTTTGAAAGCTGTGCTGCTATGTGTCAGGACCGAGGCTATTTACAGTTATGTATAGCTGAAGCTGCCTTGAACACACCTCCCATTCCCTCTCCAGCCTCAGATGGCAGATAAGATGTGATTTTAGTGTTTGACTGACACTTCTGGCCCCTCAGCATACTGGCTACCCTCACCCTTTTGGGCTCTAGAATTAAGAAACATAAATATTACCAAAACTGAGCTAAATTATCCCCAAGATGATACTTTATATTAAAACTAACATGTTAACTCTTCATTTGTGTATTTGAAGGCCTACATTTGGACACTTTGCTGTGATTCTTATTTGATAGCTCTTTTACATGAGCGGGCCAACAATTTCATCATCTGCCAACTCCTCCTGCATTCATGTTGACTTTCCACAGCGCTGAGGTATTTCTGTCTGTCGCAGCATGAAACCTGAGGCTCAGTGTGATGACAAAAGTAACACATTCCCCTCTGCTCCAGCCTGTTTTCCTCTGTGCACATCCTCCAGCGGTCAGAGGGGAAGCTCGTAAACATGTGCGACTCCCATTGGACAATAGGCCACCTCAGAGTCTGCCATAATAGTTCTTGTTGACAGTGACTCGGCCTTGCTGCGGGACTGGTGCTGAGTGAGACTGTTGAGAGGCCTGGCTTCCACTCTGCTTCCTGCCTTGCCGCCTTACAATGGAAGTCCCCAGTCAGGTGATCGGCAGGCCTTCCTCAGCTGTAAGAAGAAACCGTTCAGGAAGTGTGGTGGGATCAGAGGGGGATGTTCACTCCTCCACATCTGTGTGGTTGTCACCGGAATACTTTACTGCAGTTCCTGTTGAGTATATAGCCTTTGTTCTGCTCAGAGGAAACGCTCTGAATCATGTCACATCCTCTGTGGCAGAAACAGATTTACAGTATAACAAATGAAGTGTTTCTCTGTGTGACTGTAGGGTGTCATGTGACATTACATAGTGTTGGATTGTGCTACAGGAGGCTTTTGATCCCTTTTTGCGGAGTTTCATTGAGCACTACTGCAGTTCATTACTGCTAGCTAGAGGAACTAGGAAGTTCCTTTGAGAGGCTGAAACAGGTGCACTTTTCGCATTTTTATTTAAATGATCTAAATGATTAATCACTTATCAAACATGTTACAAATGAGTTGTAATGTCAGTCAGGCTGATTAGTTAAAGGTAGGGTTGGCAATCCTGCAAACACCAGCAAGAGGAAGCTTGATTTTGAGAGTAGACAACCAAAGGAATCCCGTCCTTTTGTTCTGACTTCTCTTCAAAGCCACTCCTCCAAAACACCATGCACCATACACACACCGCTGCAGGTTTTGCTTGGGATGAGTAAAATTACCGGTCAGGTGTTTTTCAGCCCTGCTGCTGCCACATATGATGTGTTTAACTTTATGTTGTCAGTGAATTTAATGTGTTCCTTTCCATCAAGGTGAAAAGAGAAACTCAAGAAATGAAACAAAAAATGTTTCTGGAAGGATTTGCCAACCCTACCTTTAATTCTACAGAGTAGTGATTGTTTTCTGGGTGTCTACAGAAATAATGAAACTGCCATGTACAGTGGGGGTAAACAGGGACCCAGCAACACCAGCCGAGGAGGTTAATCTGACCATGGGGCTAATAAGCTTTGAAGCTATGCCTTTTTTTTTTTTTCAGCCACTAAAAGTTCTAGGGAGACTCAAAAAAAAACCTGATACCATAAGCCCTTCCTAATTGCTCTTTGCCCTTCCTGTCACGTCCTGTTTTCTGGCAACAGTGTAAACTATGGATGACTGGTTGCAACAAACTGCATTAAATGCCGCCTCCAGTCTAAAGCTTTAGATGCTAACACATCATTGGCTGCTTTTAACCCTCTCCATATCAAAAAGCCAAACTGATGTTAGCACAGGTTTTTGCTCTTTCTTTGTCCCACTCTCTGCGTAAAAGAACACCATGATATGGACCAACTCTCCTGTTCGACACCACTAGTGTCTATGGCATCAGCAGAAACCGCAGGACTCTAGTTCCTGCAAGCTTTTGTGAAGTTTACTGTACATGTATATGACCTCATCCGTTCTGTTTGAATTTAATTACTTTCAAAGATGGGGAACCCTAGGACTCTAAACTGAAAGTAATTAATTGAACAGTATACTTATCCCAATGAGAACAGTCAAAACCACTGATTGATATTCAACAAGATTAAATGTTTTTGCTTCCTGCCATGGCTGTTGAAGGGGGTCACAACTCAAGAAAGCCAATTTAATTTTCTTAACTACTGTAGATGTCAGAGGACTCTAAGTTAATCGAGTTGTAAACTTGCCTTCAACAAAAATTTAAGAAACACAGGGTCTTTTTTTGACATGTAAAGCATCTTCATTAGTTAGGATGCTTAGTAAAACTGTGGGGGATGAACACAGTAGGACTGTAATAATGATTATTTGATCAGTATTTACACATTGTCTTTTTTTGGTCATCCTTTTGTCTGTCTCTGCAGTGTGTTTGGCATCTCCCCCATTGTTCAGAGCAACTGCTCCTACACATGGAAGCTCATTGTGCACCCAGAGCGTAAGTGGTACCACTTTGTGAATCCCATCATGCTGCTGATTCTCTACTACACCCTGGCCACGCTCATCCGCCTCTGGCTGCAGGAACCCATCGACCAGCTGACGGTGAGGACAGCACATGACATTTGACATTTTTAGTTCTCGAAAGTGTGGCATTTGCTGAGTATGTCAATAATCAGATTTATTTATTTATTTTATTTTATTTATTCATTCAAGCATGTAAAACAGTTGATATGTCAACACATGTAATTTCACACATAATAATCCAATATCAATTTACTTATACCTAGTACATGCTTGAACGGAGTAGGAAGAAGTTAGACTTATCTAGTCCTACCCCATGACATCATCTTACAACTTTTAAGTCCTAAGCAATATCTCTACATAAATAATTATCCTCTACACCACACAAGTAATATACTACAGAATTATTACAGAGTGTTAACATTCTACATAATTACATTCATAGATAATTATCTTCTACGCCACACAAGTAATATACTAAAGAATTATTACAAAGTGTTAACATTCATACACCACACCCACAATGTTCCATCTGCTTAATCATTGAGCCTGTTCTTGCATATATCTTGATTGACACATACCTTTATATTTATGTTTAAAATCATCAATTCTATTACTATTTTTATGTCCACATTTAAATTATTCCATAGTTTTACACCACTTATGGAAATACAAAATCTTTTTTTGGTTGTACGTATA